CAGCAATAAAAAACACTTAAAACTTGAACAGTGTTTTACCTATTCAGAACATTTTATAAAATGCAGTCCAGATTTCAGAAAATTGCCTATTTTGAAATCAACAATAAAAAATTGCTTCAGAGGGGTCTGCTACTTGTCTCCCTCAGGAGGAATTTACTTATTCAACACAGACCCCTTTCCTGACTCCCAGGAGTGCTCTCTCACTTAGAAAGCTTGAAGAATACTTATCTCTCACTCTCAAATATTTGATTGCATAGCTGAATATATCCTGAGACCAGGGCATTAGCAATTATTAATGGACCTCCAAATAGAAACACTCCTGAACATCTTGTGCATGTGTGTATGAGTAATCCAGATCCAAATCTGGATCTGAATTTTCTGATTAGGGCCTCAATCCATAGTGGGCTGAACTGGAACCCAAAATCAGAACATCATCCAACCTTTGGGACATAGAGGAACAAAATCCAAGCCTAAACACTAATGTGTTTTTTTATTTTACTCAAATATATCAGTATAGTACCTTCTGAAAGAAATGAAGCAAAAATAATCCTATGGTAGTTTTTTTTATCTACATACCATATAATAAAGTACAAACCTGCCTAGACCTCTCTCTCTCCAAAATAATAAAACATTCAAATTATTGACATACCTTTTTATTAAAACCTAAAAGATAGACTCTAGAAAACAGTCACTGGCACTTTGAAGGCACATTGTCATTTATCATCTGTGCATTTGAGTTTACACCTTAGGTAGCATATGAAAGATTAGGATTTCAATGAAAAGTGAACAGAATAAATTGCATCTTCCCCCAAGGGCTGCCAGACCTTTTCAGAGGGCACATACCATGAGCTCTTCCCGTGTTTGTCACTTTATCTAAACCTTCCAAAGCAGTGTCTGCCCCTGAATTTCATGGGTTTCAGGGTCAGTCACAACAGAATTGTGAGGCTAGGGAGGTCAGAGGCCATTTTTGTCAAAGGGTAGTGACCTTAGCAGCAAGAGATAGCCTGACAAAAAATTGGATTCATTCTAGTGAAAGTAGTTCTCACTGCTCTTCCCCCGCTGAGTCTTTTTTCTACCTGGTAATGAAAATCCTGTAAAGTTGTAGTGGGGTTTCACTCCAGAATGACAAAATCACCATTTTGAAAATGCATTTGTAGTGGTCTCGGGGAAAAAAAGACAGTGGACTTCCCCAGAGACATTTGTATAGTTGCACTTTACTTAAAATTTGTGGCTACCAAATCACAACAGTTTTAGTGCCATGGTCAAGGAGCTCAGGTGGGCAGGCAGGGGTGGTCACTGAGTCGTCTAAACATCTGCTCTGTAATAATTCCTAGAATTACAGGTTCAAATCCCTATAGAAACAATTCTGCCTTTCATCCTTCTAAATGAGACAAAATGAGTGTGTGTGTTCTGGGGGAGACCTTCGAAACTAAGGTCCTATCTAATCTGTGTAGTCATTAAAGATCCTGGGGCTCTTTTCATGAGAGCAGATGTTTGCTGTGGTGTCTTTGACCAAAAGTCCCTCTCCCCAACACTGATGTGCTATATGCTGGCTGGCTGCAGTCCTCCATCCCAGAGATGGTTGCATTTCAGTGGTACTCTATACACTAAATATGATTTCTATCTCTCCACCCACATAGGTTCTCATGTGGCTCCCATCATCATGGTATCTGAGCACATCCCCCAAGTTCTAAAATGTGTGTGTACACAAAAGGATATATTTCTGTTTCACTTCCTTCCAGTCAGCAGGGATTAGGCTTTATTTATTTTAACCTGCTGTTTTTGTGGAAAGGCAAATAAGTGGATTTTGTACTTTGCTTAGAAGCTGAGGTTCAGGTCAGATCTCTTCCAAGAGTCCACTCCAGATTCTAGCGCTAGCGGCAGAGAAAGCTCCATTCTGCCCACATGAGCCTCACTCTTAAGGCAGACTGTTTTGGTGGTATGCAGTTGTCGTGCCAGGTCAGAATCAGCAGTCCATTGGGTAACTTAGGCACTCTTCTGTAAGGGACATTGAAAAGACCAAAACCTTGAATTTGACAAATTATTTCATGGAGGGTCAGTGAACAGAATGGATCACAGGTGGGCCCTGCTTGGCTAAGCAGATGGGCTGCTTGCTGTTCAATGATTTGAGAGCTTTTAGGAGAAAAGGCAAATTTTATTTCTCTGGCAGCATTTGCTTTCCCTATGAGTTGCAGTGCACTGATTGCAGTCTGGCTGTAGGTACATATTTGTATGCATTTTATATTTAACAATTTCAATGCCTTGATTAAACAAACACAGAAAGAACACTGAAATCAGGACCTTGATCCAAACCAAATACTTCAAAACTGTAGCTGCTAAAGCTTAGCTACTTATAAACTTCACCATACATTTTAACTATGTGATATTTTGACATTTTTTGTAGATACCTTGAATTACAACAAAGGAGGATTTGATACATTGAGCCTGATTCTCAGTTGCCCTGCACCATTTGTAGTCATTTACACCAGTGCAAAATGACTGTAGATTGAGTGTAAAACAATACCATTTGATCTGGCAGAATTTTGCCTCCGCTTTTCTCTTGGTGTAACCACACAATGGAGAACCAGAGCCAGATTTTTAAAGATATTTAGGCACTTAAAGATGCAGATGGGCACCCAGCGGGATTTTCAAAAGTGCTGGTGTTTTTGAAAATTTCACTAGGTGCCTATCTGCAGCCTTAAGTGCCTAAATACCCTTAACAATCTAGCTGACAGGCTCATTATTTGTAATTAGCAAAAACTCATTTCATGCGAATTTTCAACTCAATTTTACAGTCAATGTGTACCACTGTCAAAGGGTTGGCCACCTCCCAAGTGCCCCCCTCGTGGCCTGAGATGGTTCTATGGAGGCCTGCCTCACTTTCCTCTTCATTCAGGGCCTTTTATAAAGACCACACTGTCCAGATATTCAAAACATTCCTCTTCTGGGGTCCCATTTATTAAGACCTGCACAAAATCTTTCATAGCAGAACTCAAACCTACAAAGATTTCATCCCACTTTTAGCTTGGCCCTGCCCTTGGTCACTGAGGGTCTGACTTCTCTTTAAAGTTAATTTCTTTTGCCCTTGTCCAAAGCTGGGCATAGCCCCTCCTGTCTGAGTGTCTATCTCCCTTTCAGAGTTCAAACACTCCATCGTTCCAATTTCAAGCTGGGAACAGCCCCTCCTCCCTGAGGATCTGTCTTCCTGCTTTCCCAGTACCGCTTGCCTGGACGTTGGCCTTCTCCACAGGCCTTTCCCCTGCACACACAGAGCCCTGCAGGAACCATTTTATTCCCTGCAGTATTCATAGGCATATGCCAACAACCATCACCCACTGTCTCCCACTTTATAAGGCCCAGGTGCTTTCCCTTGTGCCCAGTTGATCCTGCTCCCTCTGAAAGGGGCCAGTCACCCTGTAATAACCCCATTGACCTAAACAGGACATTGGGTGTGCATGGATTGAACATTTGGCCCCTTTATTCACTGTTCTAAGAAAACAAAGGCTTTGTTTTTCCAGCACTATTTGGCATCGGCCTTGTTATAAAAGTAATATTTATATAGAGACAAATCTTGCTTTCCTCCAGTGCAATTACTTGCTTCCCTTCCATCAGTATGATTACTTGAGTGAACAATGTCACCAGATTTTGGCTTGTATATGGCTCCAATCCAGCAATGCATTAAGCACATTTGTAACTTTAAGCAACCCAGCAATCTCATTTAAGACAATAAGACTATTCAGGAGCTTAAAGTTTCACACATTCTTAAGTGCTTTGCTGGATAAGGGCATACTCCACCACATTTAAGCTTTGTTTAAAGAGTTGTCAGCCTGTGAAGGTCACAGTGTACAAATAAATTAAAATAAAATATATTTAGTTTCAAAAACTTTTTTTTATCTGAGTGCGAAAATCCTTCATATATCTTGCACAACTGTACAAATAATATTTATTTCCATTTTAGCCATAAACATGGTTATCATCACACTGGGTGTTATCAAAGATTTTATTTACATAACAATTACTAAAATGCCCGATGTCATATTTCCATTTATTTATTTCTTACCCATAGGGTAATAGGTCCACCATAATTGCTTGGTGCATTTTATAATACAGAAGAAAAACCTATGTTAATAAATTCTAACAAAAACTCACAAATACCTACAAATCTCACAGAAAATGTCTACTAAAATTCTCCCAAAAATACAATACATTTTCCCACACATACACATTACAGAATAAGTTCAAAGGCACAGCTTTGAATTATTATTTTTTTGTAGACGCATATTGAGTTGTCATCTTGTGAAGGAATCAGAAGAGCAGTTTTCATACCTGTCGATAGGTAATGAAATGAATAATTTGTTTTGTATTGTCACTTTTACATAATTGCTTAGTATCATCGTATTTAACATATGTGGCTCTGAATCCAACACCTTACCAGTCGCAAAATCCCTTCTTAACCGTGATGTTACTGACCAGAGCTGTTGCATTTAACCAGATTGTGCAAACTTAATACAAATACATATATAATAAGAACCACAGTCAACTTAAGGCAGTGTATCATTCAATGCTACATGTCTTTCTTTTGTAAGGATAACACTTATTTGATCAACGGAAAGGTGCATCAATATACAAAATTATGTGTAAACTGAAGCCTATAACAACACATTCCATTTAAGGAGCCTAAAAAAGGAATTTATGACAACAAGTAATGACTTGACAGAATGTCTCTAAAGAACCCAGTAGAGGTGCCAGAGCTTTGTTATGGTCAACTTTTTGTCTTTATCTCAAATTATAAATAGATTTATCTATAACATCTTTCCTTAAAGACTAATTAACATTTGTCAGTTGGGGGGGGGGGGCGGAAATGGCTCAGTGAAACTGACATCATAACAGAGCCAGACCACATGACAGAAGAAAAAAAAGGCACAGCTTGGCCAATATAATGCTCTATAGTAACAGTTAAATCTTGTTACAGGAACACTCCGTCACACTGGTCTGCAGTATGTCCAGATTATGAACTAAAATTATCTGTCCAGGATCGATTCTATCTTCAAGTCCGTTAATGAATGTTCAGATAAAGTCCCATGTAATAGCCAGATATAAAGTTTTTCTGTCTTTATTAAATATAGGGGCTCATGCCATACCAGACATTTTCACTTAGCCCATCCTGTGGTGGCTTCTCCATTGATGTAGGCAAAGCCGGGAAAGTGTTGCATGTGCTCATATTCAGAATTCCTGCGTGTTGTCAAGGGCGTGTACATGTCACTAGAGTTTCCATATCTTGTGGAGTGCATGGATGGACTTGTGTAGCACGTGTTTGCTGATGGGACTTCCGGCCAGCGAGGAGTTACAGGGGCTGGATGCAGTCTTGGGGTACTGCTCATCAAACAGGGCTCCATCCTGGATGTCGGGCTGTTAAAAGGGTACTTAGAAATAAAAACACATTTTAAAAATGTTAAACACACACATTAAAAAAAAGTTAGAACAGGCAATAGCATACATGTTGCCTTTGTAGTAAGAACTATTCTTAAGGAGCTATAAAGGTCATCAGTAAATTCATAATGGTAAATATTCTTAGCAATACATTTTCTTTTTTTTTATATAACATTTATAGTGTGCCACATGAGATGTTCTACAGACTGTTAACTGAGAGCTAAAGAAAAACAAATGTTGGAACATCAGACTTTAAAGAGCCTAATTCTTCATCGCCCTACACCTTGTGTGGTCATTTACAGCAAGGCAAAGTGAGTGTTATACTCTACCCTTCTGATTTAACTACACTAGGTGCAGGGCACTGGAGATCAGGCTCAAAGACAGGAAGTGATTAGATGGAGGAGCTTAGATGGAAGAGAATGGGGAACAGATTGCCCAGCAATGCATGTTTTAATTATACCAAGGCTGAGGTGGAGCGGTTTGAAGAGGTCAGTAACTTTCATAATGGGAAATTATAAATAAAAGTCTGTCCCCCACTTGGTTCTGGTAGATGTATAACAACATTTGACAGACTGGGCATGAAAGTGGAAGAGGAATACAAAATGGTGGTGAATCGTGGTGGGGACAGAAAGGAACTCATGAGTGGAGGAGTGGAGCAAGTAGGTGGGCAGCCAGTGGACAGAAAGACAGAGAGGGATGATAGTACCACTTGTGGGAGGACCATTGTGAATTTTAAAGAGAATGAAGGAAATTGTAATTAATTAGTTTCAGAGATGAAGAGGAAGCCAATTAAGGGGATAGAAAATGAGAGAATATGGTACTACTTCCTGGAAGAAAGGGAGCATAAGTATTATTAATCCAAAATAGCCTATAGATTATGGAGAGTTGTGGGTTGTATGGTGATGGAAGATGGAGAAAACTATTTGGAAGATGAGTAGGTATTGCTGGAAAGAAGGAAAAATTTAAATGCAGGATTAGCATTGATAGCCAAACCCCCTCCATATTTAGAGGCAAGGAGTTTTTCTATTGTAAATGGGGGATAGACTCACTGAGTGGAGAGAAACTATAGTTTAATGATCAGGTCTAAGCCACCTGAGGGATCTCAAAGTCATCATACAGAAGGAGGTAAAGATTGCATAGTAACAGATCTGATGTTCTGGAGAGAGTCAGGTGGTGGTTTAGTGCCACATGCATTGTCTTGACAGAGATAGGGATAGTGCAGAGGAGGACTAGTAGAGGGGCAGACTCCTAAGGCAGCAGCATAGGCTGGTGAGGAAGATGAAGACCAAGCAGAAAGTGGATGAACTTGCTTTGTGATGGAGGTCAGCATTTGGGACTGGAGGCCATGGAAGAAGGGAGATTTAGTTGTTTTAATGGAAAGCAAAACTGGGGGGGAAAAGGGAAAGAAGAGAGAGGGTATTATGGATAAGAACTGGTGCTAAATACAAAAGAATATGGGAATAGACATACCAGGGTAGGCAGCAGAAGAATGGACAGTGATAAGTGAAGTCTTGAGATAAAGAGAGAGGAAAAATAGTAGGAAGTTACACAGGGAGATGAGAGGTTTCTCGGCCTTAACCAGAGCATTTTCTACTCACGAATGCTATGCCATTACTCAGCAATGACAGCCAAAACGATAGCAACTCTCTATAAGAGACTCTTAGTGAACATTCAAAGTGTTCAAGTTTTATTCACACATATGTTCAGGTAAAGTGCATTTTAAAGTTGCATGCACTAATATTTCCTGCAAACTGATCTATATGAGTGGACCCTTATGCCCATATGGAGTCCCACTGAAGTCAGTGGGGCTCTGCATAGGGGCAGGGTCATCCCACAGGGGTCAGATAGCAGGAGTGGAACCTAAATTTGCACATGTGAATACTTGCACCAGAAGTGCTTGTCTGCCTATTCAATCAGGGGACAAACTAAACGAGGTGATTTATTTAATCTATCACATCAACAGAGTTTATATTTCAAAGGTTGAGTATTAAATACTAATGTTTGCAATTAATCCACAGAATAAGAAATGGTTTGCAAACAGATCATTAAATTCAAACATCAAATACATTCAGCAAAACAATAACTGTTTCAAGATAGTCCGCAAGCAGAAAAATATCTCAAATTTGTCACAATTCGAATCAAGAAACTTATTATCCAGTAAACAGCAGGTCTTAAAATGTCATGCTTCCTGCTCATTCTACTGCATTCCCAAGAGGAAAGAGAAAAGGACCTTTAGAAAAAGGCGGTCTGTCCCCTTTAAATGTTTACAAGCCTGTCTCCCAGCCTCTGCAGAGAGGAGCCAAGGTCTGTCCACCTAGAAGGGAACTAACTGGTAAATCCGGAAATCCCTATCTGTGAAAAATATCACATTTTTAAAAAAATTATCCCAATTTGAAAATTTTCCACAAACGAGAAATTCCATTTTGGGAGAACTGAAATGGAATTTTTCAGTTTGCCAGCTGCCCACCTGGAAGACTCTTATCCATTTTACTTTCTGCAGGCAGGCAGCTGGAGAGTTCAATTTTCCCTACCAGAAAAATAATTTTCTTTAGCAAAATGCAAGTTTTCCCACAAAACAATTTGATTTTGCAAAAAGGGCTTTTTCCGTGAGCAAATCATTCAGATGGAAAATTCCTGACTAGCTCTGCTAACTGGAGAGCTTCTACAAAGAGGTGGGATGGTGAGTTATGAAAAAGAATCTTTCTACACTCCGGCTGTCTAAAGGGACAGCTGGAAACAGGAGAACAGAGGATGATATCTGCCTCCTGCTAAGGAGGAAGACAGGCTGAAGGCAGGACAGAAGGGAAGAGAGCAGTTTGCCCTCTATAGCTGGGAGGCAGCAAACAAGTCATGGTCCATGTAGTGATATGTGTAATAATTTTGAGTAGGGGTACATTAGGAGGGAAAGAGGGAAACTTTTCTGTTGTAAGATGCTTTTTATGGCAGCAGTTTGAAGCTAAATCCCGGGAAGATGGATTAGTTAGCAGAGGGCAGGTGAAGAGGTCAAAGATGCATGATGCATTCATTTAACACATGGCTTGTCACTTTATCACATGGCTCTCATCTCCACACATGTAGCGTATTATATTTTCCTTTACAATGTTTGACAGGAAAACTCAGAGATGCTTTGCCATTAACTTCAATGGGGCGTTATTTCACCCTAAAGGCCTTGATTTTCAGAAATGCTGAGTACCTAGAGCTTTCATTGAAGACAATGAGAACTGCAGGTGCTCAACACCAATGAAAATCAAGTCTTGAAATTTTACATTAAGGGACTTAAGGCCACAGAGGGAGTCAGTCTCTGAATCAGGCTTAGAATTTAGGACCATAGCAGTCTACTTGAATTGGGCAGCTAATCTGGTTGGTGAAGATTAGAGATTTTTAGAGCAATCTGTCAAAGAAATTATAAATATTTAAGTAAAATCTAAGTAGTTCCAGGTAAAGTTTAATAACTTTTCATATCTTTAACGTGTCAGGTGAATAACTCTGTGGAAGAGCCTTCTCATTAATATGCTCAAGAACTAAGTCGTCTTGGACCACAAAGGCAATATTTGAAGCGGGAAGGTAAAATCCCTCTGAAATTCATTCAGTCAATCATATGGGGATGCTAGGAAATATAGACCACCTCTGCCATATGTCCAGCTGTACAAATGTGCTGCCGTAGAGTACAGTCAAACAATACTTTGTAACTAAGGCCCTTCGTTTTCAGTTTCTATTTTGTTTAAAATTTCCCAGGAATGTCAGTGTTTATTACAAAAATTTAAAAATGGGCAAAAATCAGTGCAAAAGATTAACTTCACAGTTTTCTGGGTAAATATTGAGATTATTATTGGGGGGATGTGAGGCTAAAAAAAAGCAACAAATAGAGAAAAGTTGGAGTATTGAAAGTAAAGCAGCTCAATGCTGTAGTTTATTTGATGAACTGTACATTAACAGTATATACCCATATGCACGTGCATGCATATATGTGTGTCTTCCACTGCATTGCCTTACTTTAACAGACAGCCTCTCATTCACCCCAGACTAATCTATTATTAAAATAAACACATCTACCTAATGTAATATAACAATCAGTATTGTCATGTACTTGTGTGGTCCAAAATTTGAATGAAAATGTTAAAAATAGAACAATCGTTTTTGTAAAGCCTGGGAATTTTTCAGTAAAAATCAGTAAAAACTTAAAACAAAGGGCCTTATCTGTAGCCTAGTGTCCAATTTAACCTGTTGGCTAGGGCTGTTCAGAGGAGGTCATTAAATCAACCGCAATGTTCCACTCTATAGTGGCCAAAGCTGTGAGCTGTTCTCCTTCCTAGCCTCAGAAGCCCCTGAGGAGCAATGTTCACAAATTGTCCTGTTACCAGGTGCAAGGATAAGGATGAACCATTTGCAAAAAGGTAAAAGCTTCAGGGATAATTTAAACGAAAAATGTGTACTCTCCAGAGGCCCACAGAGTGAAGGTTGGTCTGAACTGGGATAAACTGGGAAAATACTATATTGGCCTAATCAAGATCTTGTCTTATAAACATTGTGATTGATTTATTTCTTAATTCACATTAGAATTTAATGTTAACTTGAAGTTTCATTACACTTGGAGCCAGTGTTCCAGCTTAAAAAAATCTTTTCTTCCTGATGTTCTAAACAACTTTCCCTCTTGCTAATCAGACTAGAACATTCTGTTATCCTGACATGCTACAATTTCCTGCTTGAAGCTGTGAGGCAAAGGCTGGGATTCAAAGCCAGGGCTTGACCTCCTTGCATGAACTGAGAATGAGGACTTTACACACTCCAGGAGAAGCTCTCTCTGTGATGTACAGCAGGCTTCTAAAATTTCAACAAGGGAAACGGAATGGTCTCTAGGGAAACGGAATGGTCTCTAGGGAATCCTCACAGGTTCTCCAGGTTATGCCATGTCATTATTATATGAGGGAGTCACACAATGCCGATCGCTTGGCAGGTAGAGTAGATGAACATATCAAAAAGATGCCCTTTTTGG